CGTTACTTCAGAGTAGGAGAATGGGATGCCCCAGAACTTACAATGATCTCCAAATACAGGAAATAATCAGTTAAGGCTAAAGTCCACATTAAGACATGCAAATAAAAAGAGAAGCAACTAATCTTGATCCCTTCCTTGAGTGGAAAAATGCAGTATCAGTTAGTTTCAACAGATCAATAGCTGTGATCCCAAATGGAAATAAGCCAATTTTCAATACTTGTTTTTTTCTGTTTTCTTATGTCATTTAAGGGTTAGCTGCTATTTGCATACAGATAGGAAGCTATAACCAATACTTCAATAATGTTGGCTAGAAATTTATCTAGGTCTTCTACAATGAAGTAGGAGAACATTCTGTTGTGATATGGTATGAAAGAGATGATGAAAACTAGAAATAACAAATTGCTAGCCTTCTACTGCTATAAAAGCAGACTTTCTCTGTATAAATTTACATTATTTTTCTATTAATAGGTATGAGCATAATTAATGAAATTACTGCATATATCCACTCAGGAATTGTTGTGTGGGTTACATGTATATAATCGCTCTGATATTATAAGAAACAAAGTATTTTGTTGTCTAATAGTATATCTTGTCCAAATTCATGCTCATTCATTGAACGAAATTGTACCAGAACATTCTAGTTTTCTCTTCTTTTTCCTCCCTGCATATGTTCTGATGTGAAAAGATCATTTAAGGGTGTAGTAAATGTTTACAGAGTAAAGCTTACTGTTAATTTTCTTAATTTTTTAGTATAGACTCTATGTAGTCATTCAAAGCTGTATGAATACAGTACTTTTAAGTAGATGAAATGAAAGATTTCTGAAGATTTAAATGACATCTGTGTAACAATTACTGGAACAACAAACTAAAAATAAAATGGATGTAAACTTTATGAGAAAGTTGTTATGTCTTACCTAAGCAGATAAGTACATGTAAATTGCAATTTTTTTTATATCTTGTATCAAATACAGCAAGACTTGTTTAAGAATGCCTTCGATCTCACTGTAGCTGTGGTGATTTACTACTAGAAATCTTGAAAGTATACTTCATTGTTGCACAGTTTTCACTCTTCCCTGCCCCTTGTTTTGTTCTTCAGAAAAGCTGTGGGAGTAGCATATCTAATTAGTGTACTGTCTCAGTCAAGAAAAATCTAGTGATGCACCTGGCACAAAAGATACTTAGCTTAAAGTTCCTCATTTCATTCTTATATACGTGTTTGTTTTATCTTTCCTAGATCAAATAAGTTAGTATAAAAAAACCTCTTAAGGTTAGATTTTCTTTCTTTTCTCTCTTGAAGATTTATTTTTCCTAAAGGGCTATATGTAGTTACAGAGCTGTAATTCAGCTTCTGATAGAAAACAGGAAAATGAAGAGCTTTTACAATATTTATTTTGTTTTCATTCCTATAAATTTATTGTGTCACCTGACTCTTTAAGTGTCTCTTTTTCAGGTATTTTCTTCCTTGCATTGTTAAACGTGACAAAGCAAACTATGAGGCACTGATTTAAAAGAATTAGGCCAGATTCTCCCATATGTACTATAACTCATTAATCTTTGATTAAAAATTAATAAAATAATACAGGACTACAAATACTGTATTGTATTTAGAGGAAATAAACATTAGATATCTTTGCAGTTCCCAGTGTTCCAAGCTACGAATTGGCTTGACATGCAGATCATTAGTATTAATATTGGAAAGCAGAAGTAATAGATTGCTAACAAATCAGGAAAAAAAAAATTTCACCTGAGTAGCACATTCCAGTTAATTGTAGTGTTGCAAAAGTACATGGTACATGAAATAAACCTCTGTAAGAAGTATTAAGGAGCATTCAGATTGATTTGGATCTGTCTCGTCTGATTCTTATGTGTTTGGATAATATATCAAGGCAGAAGCATCCTGGCTGTTTCACAAAAATAATTTCAGTCAATTCAGACTCATCAGCAGTAAGTGTTTTGGCAGCTCTAACCATCATAATTTAGAACAACCCAACCAGTCAGCAACCTTATCTTAAATAGAGATGAAACTGTAGGGACCTGTTGTATTGTTCCCTTACAGTGTAAAGGAAGAGAATACAAGATGATTACATTCTCATCCTGTCCTCTGCTTTTACTCCAGGGTTTCTGTTTATCTGTTACTGTTTTATTCAATGCAGCTGAGACCAATTATCTCCCCTGTGATTTTTGAGGTCACATCATAGGTTAGATATGTATTACAAATAATCCTCTGAGATAATTTTTTCAGATATAAGTAAAAACATTGCCAAGAAAAGAAGAATCTATTCCATTGCAGATGTTAATAAATGAAACAGAAACAGAGCACTAGATATGCTGTTTACTTAGAATTTCTCAGAAGTATACAAGAAACAGGAAGAAATGCAGGAAAGTTTCAACAATGATTTTAAAACTCATATTGCTGCTGCTTTGCATAGTTCTTGTATGTAAATGTGAGCTTTTGGGAAAAGAGTGGACATAATGCTGTTTAAAAAAAAAAAAAAAAAAAGAGTGATTCAGTGCTCCTGACATAAATATCTTTCCTTGAGATAGTAAACAGAAAGGTAATTTCTTAGAAAACTCCTGTGTCAGTTTACAGCATCACAGAATTGCAGGGATTGGAAAACATCTCCAGACATCATTGAGTTCAACCCCCAGAGTTACTGGAGTCACTGTCTCCATGCTTATCTGGCTGTTCTTTTAAAACTAGAATTGTATTGGCAGTTTCGGACAAGATCTTAAAGCCAGTGAAAAAAATACAGTCTGTTTCTGTTTAGTCATTTTGAAAAAGGCAGTGCCTCCATGAGGACTATTTCATTCTAATTTGTCTTCCCACCCCAACCGAATTGCAAACATGCTTTTGTGAGAGATGCAGCCGTAATGTAATGATGACCAAATGAAAGTAACATGTTATGATGAATATAAAGCAGATACTTTGGACAAAAATATGTTTTCATCTGCCATAGGAGTGTAAATTAGTGGGCTGTAAGGGCATGCTGCCACCACCATCTCTGGAAAAAGATATACCACTGCCACCATTTTTCACGAACAGCTGGTAAAAGCAAGGAGATACTTAACTATGATCAAAACTATTTTTGGACTCTTTCATTTCCTGGACTGCTGAAGTACTGTGATTTCTTTGACAATAGGAACATGCTAACTAGAAATAAGATGAGTGTCAGAAATATATATTTCTCATACAAAAAAGCATAGCAGCATGATCCAGTGTGGCTCTTTCCCACATAATAAAATGTCCATTTCTACAAGCAACACACTCATAGGGACTGTTACAAGCTAAGGTTTTCCATTTTAAGAAATCATACACAGGTAGCTCAAAAGGAATTCCTTACCATCTACAGATATCATTAATTCTGGGAAGTGGTGGCAATTAACTAGGCCAATATATACTTTTTTTGTTATAAACTGATTCAGTTTTATCTCCTTCATTCCCCTAAAAATTTATCAATATAAAAACAAAATAACAATAATAATTAACTCTCATCTGATAGTTTCGCTGTAGCACGTACATTGCTCAAGTTGTTTTTGTAGAGCTCTAATTCTTTTTTATAATGGTGACAGTCTTCATTTGAGAATGACCTAAAATGTCAGTCAAATGTTTCCTGTTCATAATACAGCACGTGACTTTCTGTATTTATGAGACATTACACCCTAAACTAAGTAAGAGCAGGCATTGCTACTGACCATGGGAAAAAATAGTCATGGAAGTGACGTACTTCCTGGCAATCAGAAGAAAAAGTTTCTGGAAATAAAAAATGGAATCTTCAACACATTTGTGTCCCTGAATATTAAGTAAGAAGTCAGGAAAGAAATATCTTTAAAATTTGTAACACAGAAGGCTCCAAACTGACCTCTTTGTGTGTCACATAAAGAAGTGATGCTCTGGGAATGCAGAAGCTTAGATTTGACATTCACTTTGACCAAATGTTCTTTCTAAAGCTCAGAGAAGCTCTTAAGTACTGAGATACTGCTTCTTTGAAATCATAAGTTTCATAAACAGGAATTAATGTTGCTGAAGGTTAATATTTAGATAAATAAGGTATTTTGTCCCAAGTGAAAGAAAGGCAAACTAAGGAAGTGGAATTTTAAAAATATGTATACCTTTAAGAGAGGTCATGGTTTTATATTTTCTCTTCAGGTGTTTCAGTGATGTCAGGCCTGTGAAGTACATGCTGTCAATTTAGGAACAGCAGTAAAGATTTCATTTTAAGATGGTTTTATATATATAATTGAAGTCTTTTCAAATAGATTCTCTCTGAGTTGACCTCAAAGTTTTAATTTATACTAGTTGTCCGTAGCTTGAAGGTCTTGTTTCAGTAGCGTGGGATTTCTAGGTTATAAGCATTTTTTTTTACTGTATTTCTTTTTCCAGCATCACATCATCTTTGTTGAATAAATTTGGAAATAAATTTGGAAATCTCTGTTGGCCAAATTCTACCCAGAATTTTCTTACTATATTTTCTACTGATTTTAAATCTGTCGCTTTGAACTTCTGTGACGAGTGACAGCTCTAATAGAAAAAACTGCAAGTTACCTTGTAAATGGATAGAGGGAGCATGAGTACTGTATAACCCTGGAAATTGCAAAACCCATATTCTGCTTAAAATATCCTTGGCTACTGTGTGCCTACATGTACTGCTACAGCAAATTCATGTACCCTATTTGTCCCAGTTTACTAACAGAAGAATTAAAACCATAATGTATATTCCATACTGAGTGCTCTTTATCTGCAAACATTGAATGTTCCTTGAAGGTTTAGAAAAGAAGATGCTTTCAAAACTGTGAAAATGAGTGCTAAGTAATTGTACAGCATTCCAAGGTCTGAGCAAACTAAACAGAACGTAACTGATCTTAATTCTCCACTTGGAATTCTCCTATAGTGACTGTATTCTCCAAGGTCCAATATGATTTCTGTAAAAATCACATTTAATTTTATGAGATGTCTGATGCTGTAGAAGAATAATGAACTGTTTTTCTCCTCTTTTGGGCAGTTTTGGCATGAACCATGATGGAATAGGAAATTCCTGTGGGACCAAAGGTCACGAAGCAGCAAAACTAATGGCAGCTCATATTACAGCAAACACCAATCCTTTCTCTTGGTCAGCCTGCAGTCGGGATTATATCACCAGTTTTTTAGAGTAAGTAATCTCTCAAGAAAAATCATGAGTTATTAGAAAAATTCACACCTTTCAGAATAAATACTTAGTAAAGATACAGTGGCTGGCTCTAATGATTTATGTTTTTAGAATTTAAAAGCAGAGATATGACAAATCAGTGAAGAATTACATTGTAGAGCCCTTTTTCTGTGTATTGGCAAAAGCTTCTAATCTTTTTCCCTCTTCTTGGTGTTAAGTTTTAATCTATTCAAATATTTTAAAGTCATGATCATATTTCTTTACTTAATTAATCTCAAGGTGACAAATAGGGAAGAGGAGAATTTGTCAGTGAGTTACAGGAAGTAATTTTTTGTTTAAATATATGTGTAACATGAGGAAATGCAGGGAAGGGAACAAAGTTCAAGCCCTTTTCCTTGTTCTCCCATTCATGTGTTTTTTTTATGTAGTCTTGTGATTTTTCTGTATTCATTAGCAACTTTCATGAAAATGATCGGAGTTGAAGCTGTCATAGATTTTTATATTAATATCTTTAAACCATGCTAATCTGTATGGCTATGGTGATTTTATACAAAAATAGATGCCTACCAAAAATTCTACTTCTGTATAAAAAAATTAAAATAATCAAAATATACATCAGTATCAAAAATGTGTTCACTCTCTACACAATGCATAATGAAGCCATTGTGTGTAGTTAGCCTTCGAAAGACAGGCACAGAACTGTGAGTTCACTGAGAACTAGTTAATAATAGTTTTTAAAACGTGTATGAGACAGTGGGTTCATGGGAGCAATCTGACGTTAAGTGATAGGTGCAGTGTCATCCGTGATATTATTCTTTAAGAAATAAAAGTTGTTCAGTAATTCAATCACTTTAAGTGGTGGACTAAAACCAATCAAATGGTCTAGTCATTGGATTTCTAAGAACAAAATGGACTTTTCCTTTTTCAGGGATGTTACTTCACAATAATAATTCTGTTTCATAAGGCCTCCATCCAGACCAATAACATTTTCCTTCAGTTGGTCCAAATGTAGCTACTCTCACACTGAATCACTGAATTGTACAGATGTGTTTGGGCTCCCTGTACGTATAATGAGCATAATCAAATGTGTTAATATTAGGGGTTGTTGAGAGGAAAATACTTGGTTTTGGTTACTATATCAGCTTAAGGTGTTCTGTATCACCTCACTGAACAATACACTCACTTTTGTGTGCAGGAGTGTTTAAATGAGTGTCTAGACTAAATCATACTGAATGAATTATTCCACGTGTGTAATGCAGATTTCTCACAATATAAGTTATTTTCTAAGGAGATATGCATGTATTAATTAAACACAAGCATATGAAAAAAAATTTCAAGATGATTGCCAATCATATCTGTTAATTATTAAAAAAGATAAGAGCTGCTCACTATAGTACTCCTTCTAGTATAATATATAGCCAAACTTCAGCTATTAGAAAGAATAGAATTTTTGCATCTGTTCTATGAGATTAATCCACAGTCCAATAATCCTGACTATCAGCTTACATTTCAGGTATTTTCACACAATCACAGAATTGTAGGGGCTGGAAGGGATCTCTAGAGGTCACTGAGTCCAACCCCCCTGAAAAGCAGACTCCCTACATTAGGCTGCACAGATAGGTGTCCAGGTTGGTCTTGAATGTCTCAAGAGAAGGAGACTCCACCACCTCCCTGGGCAGCCTGTTCCGGTGCTCCATCACCCTCACTGTGACAAGTTGTTATACACATTTGTATGGAATCTCCTATGCTCCAGCTTCCTATGATTCCTATGCTTTCTTGTAGTACTGGGGATTTGTCTCTTACTATTACATTTTTGCTGTTTATAGTCTTCCTTGTATTTGTCACTCTCTTTTAATCTTCATTTTGAATTCATAATTATTTTGAAAATGATTTTTGAATTGGTGAAGACTGTTCCACTGGTAGCTAAGTATTTTTTACTTATGTCTTTAGAGAGGGAAACACAAGATACATTCTGTGGCTTGTATTATGCTTCAAATATAATAGTGCTGAACATTTTTTCATACTTTCAAATTTCATTCTGAACAACCATTCACGTTTCTTTACTTGTTACCTCTGTTTATATAGTGATCATTCAGTTTTTAGCTATGTCTGTTAAAAAAATTTAGCTTGTGCCTCTCCTACTCTGTTAAAATGGTTTTATTTATTTACTCTTATCATCTCTAATATTCTTTTCCATTCCACTGAAGCACAGTGAAGTTTCTTTAAGTTTCTAATACTTTAAGCCTGTGAGATGCCACTTACATTATTACAAAGGAGAATAATACTGTATTGAATCTGTTCCTGTTGTTCTAAGCTGTTTGGTTTTAATGTATTCTTTTAAAACTCAGATTTCTCAAACATGATCAGTTTGAGATTTGTTATAAATCTGTGCTGCTGCTTCTTGTTCGTGGTTTTTAATATCCTAGAAATGAACTGATGCTTTTTTTCTTAAAATAGTTGCCTGATTTTGCAAGGTAAAATAATATTTAAGCGTGAATATTTTTTTCTTAAGTTTCCAGTCTCTCCCCTCAATTTTCACATCACCTCAATGACAGCAGGGAACTGTTAAGGTATACACATATATATAGGACATCTGTCAGAAACCTAAGTCACTTATTTCTTACCCCCTCACTCTTTTTCTTGATGTAGAACATCCTTAATAGCAGATGCTTTTCATTTTCAGGTAATGATCAGTGAGCAAGAAGCAGAGAAAATTAGTGAGATTCATGTAGTAGCAATTCCCTTCCTGCTCCTATAATAGCTGAACAGTTTGCATCCAGACAGGAAAAACTATTCAATTTTTATTTTTTCCTAATTTATCTTCAAAACTTAGCAGCAGATGAGGAAACAGCTGATTCAGGGGTTTAGAGGCAAAGCCTCAAAAGGCACTATCATCTCTGTCTGCAGATGTTTATTCCACACAGATTTTATACTCTTGTCTTTTTTTTTTTTTTCAATTTTTCGTCAAAAAATGGGAAAACATCTGCAACCAGAACAAGTAGACTACAGAAAAGGGTAACAAGCATTTATTTTTCTTGTATTGAATTCACTTAGTTGTACTTAATAACAAGAATAGAGCATGGTGAAATGAAATACAAACATACTCAATTAGAAATGCGAGATCATGAGTCTGTATGGTAAAACATATTTTAGATTTATCAGCATGGGTCTCCATAAAAGTTGAGGCAGAGAAGTCATGACTCCAGGACAATGCATCTGGAATACATTTGCCCAGAAGCTCAATAATTGTTCGCTGTGGTAAGGTAGGTTAATGTGCAGCTAACAGGCTTGGGCTACTGCTTTGCAAGCACACAGTTTTGTACTGTGTGTTTATTTTGTAGTGTTGATACCATGCTGTCCTTTCTCATCAGGCAGAAGCATTTTGAAATAAAAGTCATCATGACAATGAAAGCAGAGCCTCAGTGTTACTCTCTTCTTTTTCAAGATTTCTTAAAATCTGCATCTGGATACAAATTTTCCAGACTGAGGGTACTGAGGAATAGCCATTAAGTATTACTTAAAAGTTGTCGATTCAGTCGGACTCTGGTTGAGAAAAGAGTTTACTTTGTGAGACAGCCAGATAAAGGGTGAATGTGACTTCATGAAAATGAAGTCAAAGCAAAGCTGTGTGTATTCTAATAGGTCCATCAAAACTCCCAAGAATTATGACCTGATAGCCCAGGCTTTGAAATGGCCAATGAGAACCATTTTAATGGGGAAAATGTTTCTTCTAGCAGGTAATAGCTGCTGGCTGCATGCTCTGTGTTAAAGTTAAGGACTGGATTTAATTTATCATCTGAATTGTTTAGCGTGTTAACAGAGGCTTCAAATTTCATTAAACTTTTTATAGAATTAAATACAAGAAGGACTCACTAAGATTTGAAGAGTGAGAGTGCAGTGTTACAAGACAAAGGTTCCAGTGATGTAGAAACTGTTAAAATCTGTTCAGTAAGAAGTGAAGTAACCCTAAAATTATTGTCAGTGGTTGAAAAGCAATTGGTAAAACTTCACTGTGTGCAGCAAATGTATATATATATATAATGCAAATTTTATTTATCCAGTCTTTATTTGTCTAGGGCGTGGCTCTTAAAAAAGAGAACTTTCTTCTTCATTTCATTATTCAGTTACATTTATGGTTGGTAATAACCTAATCTGCTTGATGTCTGGAGTCATTAATCTCTAGTTGTTTAATCTTATCAGTGTCAGATAGGAGAAGGTTTAACAAGAAACCACTTGGCCAGCTCAGTCTTTCAAAGGCAGAATTGTCTTTTGAAGAGGAATGAAGAAGAACCTAAATTCTTTTAACTATTTGAATAAGTAAGATCTATCACAGGATATTCTTGGAAAGTCTCTAGAGTTGCCATACAGCAAGATTTAGCTCTCAGTGACTAGATCTTTCTAACTCTGGAAATGAGCAAAAAAAAAATTCTTTAGTACAAGGGAGCTCACAGAATCACAGAATCACAGAATGGCCAGGGTTGGAAGGGACTCAAGTATCATGAATCTCCAACCCCCCTGCCACAGGCAGGGCCACCAACCTCCACGTTTAATACTAGACCAGGCTGCCCAAGCTCATAGAGATGATGTAAAAAATCTTCCAGTGTCTGTGTTCAGGCATCATGTGGCCAAGAATCTGAGACATACAAATGGATATGCAAGATAATACAAGATACTTTCCTTATATGCCTTATGTACTTTGCATGGCAGATATGCCCTGTTACTCCAGGAGACTAGTGATGATTTTGATATATGGCTCAGTAGGTTTTTCCTAATATGGGTACTGGATATTTAAGAAGAAGAAAAGAACGCCTGGGGACATAGTATGGAGTGAAATATGCATTAAAGAAATAACAAATTATTTACTAAAAAGGAAAAGAGAAAACAAGCATTAGAAGAACATTGTGCAAAATTGAAGTGTATTTGCTATGAAATAGCTAATCAGAAATAGAGCTAGCCTTGTGCAAAAGGCTGAAAAGTAATAGAACATATCATGAGAGATATCTAGTAAATCCATATCAATATCTTAATTTCTCAAAGTTCAACAATGTTTGCATTTAGTAATCCTGTTTTATCTCATTTTTAATTTTAAACATACCACTCTGAATCATATCTCCATTACTTATGTCCTTATTGTACAAATATTTATGTGTTATTATCTATAGATTATTGAGCAGTTTGCAGAGTTTATTCATTAATGTCAGGTTAAGCAATTTTTGTAGCCCATATAGAAATATATCTTGGTACTCTTTAAAAATCAGTTTTTACTCAGGAAAAATAGATAGTATATATGCAATAAATCTTTTCAAAAGAGCCAAATGTTATTTATAGGTATATAAATAATTCATATTTTTATAGCTATGCAAATATATAAATGCACTGTTTATACTTAAGTTATTTTGGTGTTGGTATTTTCCATGTTTTTATGGGAAATTTTGTATCATGATTAAAGAAAATATTATGCATACTATCTATATGTTTATCTATATGATTGTTTAGCTCTAATAGTTGGTTAAAAATACTTAGAATGAATCTTCTAATATGTGCTTGCATTATATTCCATATTATTATGAATGAGCTAATCCTCTAACATGTCAAACTCATTTTCTGTGCTAATGTTCTGGATATTTTCCTCAGCCATTGAAGGAGTTCTAATGTAGTATGTATGTTCCCAAGATATGTGAGGATAAATAGTCTAATAGCATGAACCCTGAAGGGTCTATGCTATTTGGTGGTTTTTCTTCTCAGTGGCCTTGCATAAAAAGTGATGTCTGCACAGAGATTGTCACTATTACATGCTAAAGAGTCTAGCATTGACTCCCTTGTTGCTGTCATTTTGGTCAATCAGTTTGACAGAGATGAAAACTTTAAGACTGTGAGCTTTTATAGAAAGATGTAGTATCCTTGATATCCTTTCACACAGAAATAAGATTAATTTTCTAGCCTGAAATATTGTTATACAAAATTTTGAACTTCATTATAGATTATTTTACTTTTGCTTCTTGACACATTATACTGGAATACTTTTGTTAATAACAGTAAAATGGCATGAAGCTTTTCAATTTTATAATGGAAAATAGTCCTAATGTGCCCCATATAAACTCATGAAATTAACTTAGGAAAATGAGAAAGTCCTTGAGTGTGGAGTAAGCAGAATGTGTCTTGAGTTTGAGTTCATCTTATTTCTATAGCAGACAGTGAAGACTTACCCAATCCCTCTTCAAAAATATAAATGTTCTGTCTCTGATATCATGCAGGTGTTGGTTTTTTTTTTAATTTATATGCAATTCCTATGTAAGAAAAAATCACAAGCAGTGAAACTGATGGTGAGTAGAAATAGTTAAATTTGCAGAAATGAAGATATTTAAAAGTGCTTATCATTCTCACTATTTCTTTTTTTACATCTACACATACAGCATTTCAGTTTAGGTACCCCCACTAATTTTGTAACACTAGTTTTTTCAAGTTCTTTATGTGTTTCTTCACATCAAGAAAGAAGTAATAAAACTGAAGCAGAAGAAAAAAGAAATTAATACTCAGCCTGAGAGAAGTAATTCATAAGTTTATTACTACTTACTAGACTTTTTCTTGCTTTTTTATTGATAGAGCTGTTTTTTGTTATGATAAAAATGCTGTCTTCAGAGAATGTCACAGTTCTGGCATGGTTTGGCCTGTTCCATGACTAGTGGGGAGGGGGGATCCATGGACCCATGCCCTGGAAAGTGGGAAGGGAAAAGGTAGGCAGATGGGCCTAAAAAAATAGCGGCAGCAAGCTAAGGGAGAATGCTAATTTACTAAATATGATACCAGAATGCAAGATAATACAATACCAAATAATTGAAATTGAACTAATAAATCAATTAAATGAGATGGAGAATGTCCAAAAATCAAAGGCCTTGGTCTAATGCTGAAGGTGAGACGGCTAGGGAGCACACCCTGCAGTGGTGAGCAGAAAAAGAAAGGATAACAGTCTTGTAACACCCAGTCAACTTCAGTACATTTAAAGATTAAGGCTTTAATCTGTAATCTAATTTGTGTAGGAATCTATATGCCTGTGGCCAAAAGTAATGATAAATTTTTAAATAGTTGTCTTTTTACAGGATAATACATTACATACCAAACTCTGCACTAGTTGAATCTGTGTAGATATTCTTGTTGTATATAGTGTCAAATGTTAAGCTTCCCATGGCTTGTTTAAACAAGTTAGTATCTGCAGTTTGGTTTGAACAATGCAGAATGCTTAGATTGTATTGGATTTATTTCCATATTGGAAGTATTAGCATGTACTCCTCATGCACATACAATCACAGAATCACAGAATCACAGAATCGTAGGGGTTGGAAGGGACCTCCAGAGATCATCGAGTCCAAACCCCCTGCCAAAGCAGGATCCCTACACCAGGTCGCACACAACACTGAAATGCTTTAGATTCAGAAGAACCTATGATAATTTCTCAACTTCAGCCAAATGCATGCGCTTGTAGTAATTACAACTGGAATATAGGGACAAATATGTTACTTTTTAATGCTAGAATCAAGTATTTAACATCTTAAGCCCTGATTGGGTGAAAGGAAGGATTTTATGCCTTGGTTTGGGGTGGAGGGAGGTGCAAGTGAATCATATGGAATTTATTGGGATAAGAACCTGAATAGCTTTTTTATTGTTATTACTTAGTTGATTATTGAATTGGTTGCTGTATATTCAGATGTGCCAGTTATTGTTTGGGTTTTTCCACAAGGTCTGCTCTTGTATTTTGAGGAAATTAATAAAACAGGGTTAAAATGAAGTAATTAGCGGTATGGTTAAACAGGGGCCTTTTTGTTTTTATCTGCAGATGAAAGAAGTAGAAAATTGGAGATCTTCACAAAACAGTGTAGAACACTGACTATTGAAATTATGTTCCTTTGGCAAGGTGCATGGAAAAGATTTGAAAAAAGATACATAAGTGCTGGCAAAATTTGTAGGAATGTCAGAAAAAAATTGCAAGTGTTGGCATAAGAATTCTTTAAAAATCCTCACTTATTCACATGTGAATGAGAGTAAAAAAGCATCTGTCCTCTTTCATGCTCACTGACTAAATAAAACTGAATAATTATAAAGTATTCTAAACAAAAGAATTTGTCTGCCTTTGGCTTTCTTTGTTATTTGTTCCACTACACTAAAATATTGTGGTTGAATATGGGCATACATTGAAAAAAAACAACAGTGACTATAAAAGAATATAAAAGTTTTGAAACTAGGTGATCTTAGTTAAAAGTAATGGAAATGATCTTTGGATCCATATTTTTATTCACCCAAGTAAAGGTAAATTCTAAGACCTGAACAATTTTTATCACTGTAACTATTTTGTTCTCTCACATGGAGGAGTAATAATGCATGTTAAGGTCCTAGTTCTCTGGTCATTTATTCATGTTGAAATTTAAATGTGTTTTATATAAATCAGTTCATTTGTGTGTATCTGTTATGTTTTCAAGTACTTGCCTGTTTGAAGGATCAGAAGGATCATTAAGAATTATAAACTTAATTTATTTGCTTAATTTGTTTATTTTTCTTTCTGTGACCAAATGTAGCTATTCTTCAATGAAAACAAGTAGGAACCTTTAAGCAGAATTGAAAATCAGTCTTGAGTGGTTCAGTAATTATCATACTTTTTGAAAGGATAACATATGACCTAAATAAGCATTTTTGTTAATAACTACAATGAAAAATTATTTTGATCTCTTAATTCCCTCTAATTACTTTTTTTTACCGTGGGTCTACCATTGTATTGTTTTTTTTTGCTGAAATCATAGTTGTTTCACACCCAGGGCTGTTAAAAGTAAGAGCTAGATACATTATATCATTGCTGTGATTTACAGTCAGTAGAATTCCTAATTCCTTTGGTCCTTTATGTTGAACAGTTCGGGCCGTGGTACTTGCCTTGATAATGAACCTCCCAAGCGTGACTTTCTTTATCCAGCTGTGGCCCCAGGTCAGGTGTATGATGCTGATGAACAGTGTCGCTTCCAGTATGGAGCAACATCCCGCCAATGTAAATATGGGGTAAGAAGTCTTAATCCTTATGCTGAGTGTTTTGCTTAGTCACTTGTATATATTCTTTTATAGCATAAATTTTTAGTTAGATGCACTAGTAGGTTATGAATTCCCAACAGTGTTCTATCTGGTATTATCATATATAAGCAAAGGGTACATTTTAATCTTTATGCTGCATCTTTTGCTTGAGTCATTTGTGTATGTATTTTACACTCAGATGTGTGTGTAACAGTGAGCTGGAGAAGCATTCTTGAATGCTAAGATAGAAAGGAGCCCAGAACATATTATTGTGCTCCTTGTAAAGTATACTGCATAACTTTCACTGATTTCAGTTAAATGGGATCACGCTCATGCTCTATTAATCTTGAAATATGAAATCTGTTTTGTTGATTTTAACTTTTCAGTTGAAAGTTACGTTTTGAAGTTACATTTGTATTTTTATCGATTTGTCAGGTCTGTTTTATTTTTTGCTGACAATGAGTTCGTTGTTTCTCACATTGTTCAGAGCTCTTTTGGAAGGGAAGAATAATTGATTATGGGAGCAGAGTAACATGAAGCTAGACTGAATAGCATATTGAATAGCTAAGTACTAGCACTGCTTTGGCTGCAAGTACCAGTGTGCAGTATTGAAGGTAAAGAAATTTACATTAGCATAAAAACTTGCTTACTTAATATTTTAGTGCATTATGCAATACATTTTAAAGTATTATTTAAAGAAAACCTTGCTGCCCAAAATATGTAGTAAAATGATGCACTTTGCTATACTTACCGTTAAATAATCCACTGACAGTAAATTAAAAAAATCTTAAATGCTTTAAAAATACAGAGCCAATATTACTAATTTTTTAATTATTGATTATTCAAATCAATTAATTGAATATCAATTAACTAATTGATTTGAATAATCAGTAATTACTAATATTTTAATTATTGATTATTCAAATAAAACAATCGTAATCAAGAAATTCACTCTGTTTACTTCTCTAAAGGCTAGCTCCAAAGAAAGTATATTAAAGGGATATTAAATAACCCTTGGCTGATAAATATGGTATTTTTCTTGGGATGCCTCTTTGACAGATAGGCAGAGGATTTTAAAAGCTATACGTAGCAGGCTGACTAGCTTGCAGGGTCTTCTGTTCCTGATCCTCATCAAACCTGTCTTGGCCTTTATTGTGCCTCTGTAAATTCTCATGTTCCACCACTGTTCTCTAAGGGCCTTGTTCCCTGTCACTACATCTAAAATTTTTAATCCTTTTTCTTGCAAATTTTCATACTCTTTATTTTCAGGCTAAGGAAATCTGTAGATATTTAACTTACTATTTATAGCACAGCCTCTGGAGAGACATTGCATTTGAAAATGCAGACAATTAGAAGTACTGAAGATGTAGGTAATTATAGACTCTACTAAGTCTGCTTTCATTTTTCATAAAGGAATTCTCCTATAGTTAAAAAAAAAAGGTTAAAACTAAATTGAAGCAATGGTTAAAAGATGTGTTCATGTGACATCACTAGTCCTCTGAATTGGTGTAGTGTACTACACTATGCTGTCTATGAGCATGACTTACAAGAGTTTCAGAAAAAAACAAAATCCTATTTTTAATAGCAGAATTTAAACTCTATGCATTTCTATATCAGAATATTTCAGAAGCCTGGTGATATCCAGAAACATTATCTTCCACAGCTGTAATTTTCTGAAAATGCCATCATTATGATAAAACAGATTTGAAGTAATAACATTGAAGGGAAAGAATGCAGATGGAAAATATTCACACCAGAAAAACATTTTCTTAAGAATGAGTATTTAGAACTGAGTAGTGGAACTGGATGGCAGTACTAGTGAAAGTTAAGTTAAATTTTCTCTTCTGCTCTATAACTATCAGAAGTAAACAGTCAGAACTTTGAATGTTTTTGTTTGAAATAATATTCACATAATGCTATAAATAGTTCACGGATCTCAGTCTAATGAGTATGCAACTGTAAATGAGAAAACAATAAAAATCCTTATCTAACAGTGTATCTGGTTGTTGTAATGACTTTTTTCTAGTGGTGAGCCCTTTCTTATTGAAATGCCTGATAAAAAAGGAAGACGTCTAGCAAATTTTCCAGTAAGGATGTTTAATTAAATTGTAAAATAAAAGGAATTCCAGAAAAAATTTGTTGCTGTTTCCTCTTGCTCATGTTTTCTACTAATTTATAATAGCAAGACATGACATGAGAAATTGTCATACTCTCAGGTCAAAAGAATTAAAATTCTCCTTTAGGCTCTGATATAAGTGTCAATATGGCATTTGGTGATTTAGAAAATATTCAAGGTCTTTGAAATTCTGCTCTAATGTGTGTCTTATTAACCTCTAGAAAAACTACCTGTTTTGGCCATATAGTTTTGATGACGATCTGTATTCATTGCTTTTTTTCCTGTATTTCCACATCCAGTCCATTGTACTTTTATTCTAGCTGTTTGTTGCTTTTGTTCATAAATTAAGTTCTAATTCAGAAAAGCCTTTCTTCATTTAAATACATGAAGGTTTCTCTCTCACTTAGGAACTTCAGGTGTTTGCAGAGGTGTTTGAATGATTAAGGCATAAGAACTCAATTACTGAAGGGACCATAAGACTGCTTTTCTGTGTGTGTTTATTGACAAGGAATTCTGCAAAGCAGAACTAGACCTAACGGAACTCTCTGTTTCAGTCACTTACAAGCAGAACTCTTCCAGCAAAAGTATTACAGTGTTGATCAGATTTTCTTCAAATATTCAGCAAATATTGCAAGCAAGAATTTACAGAGCTATTTTAGCATATTTATTATTGTTTCCAAATAGATAGCAATTTTCTAATGTCAAATTTGCATTGTTCTTTGTGCTTTCAAACAGTCTATGATACAGGAGCACTTATACAGAATTTAATTCAAGAAATAGGTAGTTTGAATAAAGAACTGAGAGTTGATGTGATGATACTTAAGATATTTAGGCTGCTACGAATATAATGCCTCCTTTTTTATTATTTTGCCCCATGACATCAGAGGTGGGTGTTGGTGTTATGGAGTAGAGATTGATTTCCTGCCAGTTCTGTTAGATTTTGTTGATGTGTGACAGATGGCAGCAGTGGGGCAGTCTGACAAAGTGACGTCTGACATGGAAGTGTGTATGGAGCAAAGGTGTGTCATTGAGTTCCTCCATGTGGAAAATAGGGTACTCACTGACATTCATTGATGCCTGTCGACAAACCACATTCTGGGTGGTGAGGCACAGTTGTCACACCATGAAATGAAGTGCATTTGATCAGGTCATCCATGCAAATCAGCAGATTACAACCAGGGAACTGTAGATGGAGCTGAGTATCAGCTTAAATGCACTGGAAAGGATGGTGGCGATGTTGAAATATGACAGAGTTTGTGCTAGATGGGTGCCATGAGTACTCACAGGAATAAAAAAAACTCTACGCAAAGTTGTCAGGATCTATTGAATCAAAACAATTCCAAAGGGTTTCATTTTTCTTGATAACATCACTACTGGCGATGATACATGGCGTCACCACTCTAAGCCAGAGTCAGAATGGCCATTCATGCAGTGGTGACACATGAATTCCCTGGCTGAAAAAAAGTTCAATATGCAGCCATCTGGGGCTAAAGAGATGTGTACTGTGTTTTGAGAAAGAAAAGAGGCAATTCTTGATTTCCAGGAACTTGGATGAGTCATTGACTCTGCTACATAGTGATGCAGACTAAGTTGAAGAATTGAACTTCCGCAGTGATGCAGAGAATATGACAACCTTTCTTTCTCTTGCAGTGCAGTAATGTCAGGCCATTTACCATGGAGCCATTTGGCTGTCCTAACACACCCACGTTATAGTTTGGATTTGGCACCTTCTGACTTTGATCTGTTCAGGCCATTAAACATGGACTGTGTGGCATTTTCTTAGCAATAATGCTGTCACAGCATCTGTGAGACAATAGATCATGTCCACTGGGGCAGATTTTTACAAGTATGGCATGCAGACTCTTGTTCATTGTGAAAATGCATGGCTAATGGTGGTTGAAAAGAATGTTTTGTAGCTGGGAATTTTCTCTATCAAAGAGCATTATTATGCTCTTCATATCCATTGTGGTTTTGATGAAAATAAATAGGAAGCATTACTTTCGGGGTGACCTTTGTGCTTCACTCTTAAGATAAACTTTGAGACACAGGAGAGTCTCAAATTTTTGATTTTCAGTGATTATATTGGTGGAAATTTCACTGTATACTACTGGCCTGTGGCTTTTTTTCCTGAAGGAGGGTATTGCATGCTTTCATGTGTCTTACTAGTTACAGTGTTCTGGGAGATTTTGAGGGTATTAAGAAGAATACGAGTTCCTGCAGGATGATGCTGTGTGAATTCTCCTCTCCTGACGTGAAGCATGGTTCAATTAGCCTGTACTCTGTGTCCCACATGGCTTGGTAGTTCAGAAACATATTCAATCATTTTATTCAAATGAGTGTAAAGAGAACTTCTTTTGTTGACTCCTTACCTTCTTCACGTTTGTGCATCTGCATAGTTGGTTCTTGGCTGTCTCTGGGTTAACTCAGGAAGGAATTCCAGTCTTGACTTTAAATGTCTCTGTTTTATGAGTTTAAATAATATCTGTAGTATGCCTGACTGTAACTTGCAGATTTTGTGATTCAAAATAATGTTTTGCTTTGGAGCTGTCCCCACATTTTTAGCACAGGAGCTAAAACCTCATATATTTTAATAGCAGTTAATATTTTATGCATATGATTGATTTTGCTGTGGTGCATTTTATGATCTGAGAAGCTCTTGGGTGCTAGCATGAATTTCAGAGATAGTGCTTAACAATTCTCTGGTAAATTTTTTCCATTTTATCCTTTTCCACCTTCACTGGTGTCATTAATTCAGAGGAATGAGCCAGGTGCTACCTTGAGTACATGGCTTCACTCAAATCAGCAGAACTTTGTATTTCATGCTGGAGCTTAATGCATCAGGTAATATATTCTAGTTTATGACAGGTAGATCTCT